ATTTTTTTGTCCCGACCCGGGATTCGAACCCAGGACCTCATGATCAGCAGTCGCACTACTACAACAACAACAACAACTACCTAACCAACTAACAACTGGACTAACGAGGCAGTCATCGCATCTGGGGAATAACACCTTATTAGCTAATATATGTAGGCTGTACTGTTAAACATATGCCAGGTTGAGCCAGTGGTCTTGTGATGGTGATGAAGATGATTGTCGAAAAAAATATATATATATATATAAAAAATATATATATATATATGTATAACTAGGGACTTCGTATAATGCGTAAAATTTTTAATATGAGTTCCAACGTGGAAACAATGCGTCTCAAAAGCTACACAATATCAATGACGTAATCGGACTTAGCACTTCTATTGGGCGAACTTTGCGGTATTGATTCAATCGCTTTTCTTAGTAAAATTTGAACAGTGGCCGGAGAAAATGGTTGGTAATGATGAGCTTTTAAGGTGAAAGTGAAGGCGGATGGTCTCAAATTACGGCTTAAGTGGTTTTAAATGTAAGTGTTAAAACAATATAAGATCATTTGCAGAAAATTGGTAAAATAAAGAAGTTTGACGAATGGTTTCGTCACTAACTAAATGTGGAATTGAATATAGTTGAAATTTTTTTTTAAATACTAGTAACTCCATATTATAACTAATACCCCGTTACCCCAACTGGCATAAAAAGGAGATAATTTTAAGATAAGGTGGATTCTATGCAACAATCGCAAGCATTCATTATAGTATTTCGATCCAGGTGCCCAAGCCCACAGGTCAAACAGTGCCCGAAACCAAAGATAGCCAGAAAGAGCTTAGAGTGACAATTTGGTGCTTCACTGTTGGTGTAATTCACTATAGCTTCTTGTCATCTGGTTTCACGGTGACTACTGACAGTTATTGTCAAGAATTGAAAATAGTGATGAAGAAGTTGGCTCTCAAACCACCCAGACTGATGAACTGTAATTGGCCATTGCTTCATCATGACAACGCCCGACTACGGAAAGTCTTGGCAAAAAAAATCAGAGCTAAAGGTTAAGAGACCCATCTCTCATCCATATTATATTCTCAAGATCATGACCTGTTTTTGAACCCATAAACGTTCGCTTTATTTGAAGTTTAAATTACTTTTTGATAGGCAAAAATTCCGTGGTACCTCAGGGGGTGAGCGCTCGCTGTAAATTTTACAGTACGCGGGCAACCTGGGCTCGGTCCCTACCGGTACCAATGAAATTGTTAATTGCAATTTTAAGTGCTGATTTACCACGTGCCAGGCAGTAAACGAAAACATCGTCATGTCTAAGAAATAAAAAAAAATATTTCGAAGACATGTAAAGTTCGCCAACACGCATTGGGGCAGCGCGGCGGACAATTCCTTGCCCTAAAACCCTCTCAGAAGTAGGAAGAGGCTTATGCCCAGCAGTGGGACGTATATAGGCTAACTTTACATTAACTTTACAGAAAAATTCTAATTCCGAAGAAGCAGTAAAAACGCTTGTATAGAGTTCATCAATTCCCCTGCAGCAAACTTCTTAAGCAGGCATAAAATAGAAAGAATTTGGTAGTAGTTTAAGCAAATATTTTGATTTATTAACTTTTTTTGTAAAATTTTTAATTTTCCCCAAAATGGCGAATAAAAACCTAATATTATGTAGCTGAGGTAGTAAATAGATGGGGCTATACACTACATGATGTGGGAGGATAAAAGGATATAACTTCGAAATACCAGATTATTACAGTCTAACAGAGTTAACCACAGTGCAATATTTTGTCGTCGACATTACAAAACCGTCCAGACAATAGTCCATTCTCGGGAGTTCTTACGGATGTTCAATATGTTTGACAATAAAGGATGCAAAGATCGATTGTTCGAAAACTAAAATAACTAAACTTTATGAAAATGTAAATATAAAAGAAGTATTATGTAGTATAACTGTATGTTTTATGATTTATTATTACACAGTAGTAACGGACGTCACATATGTATTACATAATATATATTATGTATATTGTATCGAACATGCAGGTTTTCTCAAGATATGTTTCACCCCATATCTTGTTGTAAATAAGCATGTAGAACTAATCGAAGCAACAAGTCGGTTTGTATATTTTTTAGAACTTTAATTATTTGAGCCTTCTGAATGGACTAAGACTAAGTAAGCAACACCACAACCTCAGGGCAACAACTAGAGTGTCCGCTAAATATATGCAATATAATTTCAGCCCCTTTTTTCTACCTTGAGAGTTAAAAATTTTCCTTAAATTTAAATTTAATCAATCTTTATTTAAAAAAAAACAATAAATTGGTTTAATATATAAAATAACGTAAAAATACATTCGAATTAAGAACATCATCCTTATTTAAAATCGGGTAAAAATAAGGCAGGCATCGTGTTTTGAGCTCCATAATACTGCAAGTAACGTTGACGAACACGAGCGGTAGTCCTAATAAATATTCTTATGGTAAATTGTCTTTGAAGGCTTCTAAACAATGGCCTTAAGGGGTCAGCAGCTACCATTGAATAATAAGATATTCGTTGCTTGGTAAATAACAGTTAACTACGTGGAAAAGCGCAGTTTTCTGTCCGGTTTAAAGTCCATTATAGACAACAGTATGTATACTTAATATATAAAAGTTAATGTTTGTTGCACTTGCACCAAGATTATAATACAATTAACTTACAGTAGGTAGGGTATCGTGCTGACAAATCTGTCTGAAAGTCATATATCATTTAATTTCAATGAATGCAATATCAATCCTAATTAAACAATATAAACTTTCCAATTAAAAAAAACCGGCCAAGAGCGTGTCGGGCCACGCTCAGTGTAGGGTTCCGTAATTTCCCGTCCGTCACAATAAGTGTTCCCACTTATGAGTTTAAAGGTGGGTATCCATTATGTTCGCGCTCCAGCAGCGCTCCGCGCTCCTGCAACTGCTCCCGGTAGTGGGTACTGTTGTTTCCATCCAAGTTCAAAATAATTTTCCTAGAAAGTCCTTATAAAGTTCTACTTTTCAGATTTTTTTCATAATTTCTAAACTTATGGTTCAAAAGTTAGAGGGGGGGGCACACATTGTTTTTTACTTTTGGAGCGATTATTTCCGAAATTATTGACATTATAAAAAAATGATTTTAGTAAACCCCTATTCATTTTTAAATACCTTTCCAACAATATATCACACGTTAGGGTTGAAATTAAAAAAAATCACTTCCCATTTTTACATATAAGGGGGCTACCCTAATAAAACATTTTTTTTTCCAATTTTTATTTTACCACTTTGTCGGCGTGATTGATACACATATTGGTACCAAATTTCAGCTTTCTAGTGCTAACGGTCACAGAGATTAAGCGAGGACGGACAGACGGACAGACAGACATGGCGAAACTATAAGGGTTCCTAGTTGACTACGGAACCCTAAAAAAGATATTTCCACAATAATTTCTTCTGCGGAAGCAACGCGCCGGGTACCAACTAGTTATAGATTTAATAATTTTTACTTATTCGTCTACTAATACTACTACGGAAATAATAAGTAGGTAACTAATTATTTCCTTATTAAAACCATACGTTACAAATAAACCTAGACGGCAGGATTCGAATACCTAGAAATCCGAATGAGTAGGCTACCTACTTCCGCCAGATGCTGCACCGCTGTATTCAGGTCAAAGGATACAGAAAGCTAGTATAATTACAGGTTATGAAGTATGAGATATCTGCAGTAGAACCAGACTGACCGACATAGCGAAACGGATTAGTAAGCTGAAGTGGCAACGGGCCGGCCATATAGTTCGAATAAAAAGGTTCTCGAGTGGCAGCTATGTACCGGAAGGCTAAGAGTTGGGCGACCCCCACTAGACGGAGTAACGACCCGGTAAGACATGCAGGAAGTCGATAGATACAGGTGGCTCAGGACCGTGCTTTGTGGCATTCCTTGGGGGAGGTCTATGTTCAGCAGTGGACTTGTGAAAGGCTGTAATGATGACGATGATGCTGAAGTATTTCATCTTAGTCTTCAGAGGTGACAACACATTTGTAGTTTTATTATAAAATTGAAGTAATAAACGTACTTGCGTAATATTTAGTACCTACTATAGCCCTTAGACATCTTCACCTGACACCCTTAGACCCTAAGACAACTTTAAACAAAGAAGGCTATATATCCGTTGTTACTTGTTACCTCTGAAGACGTCGCCTGCCCCAATACCGGCTCCCCATACTCTGCTGACCGGTGCTTGGAAGCAGTGATAGGTAAGATGATACCCAGCCGATGGACTAATTAATATGTTAACTATATAAGGAGAACATAAAATTATAAATTTTGAAATAGAATTGAACTATAATGAGTTTCTAATGTGTAGGTAAGTACCAAAGTCAAATATTTTAAATCCTTATTTCCGTGTAAAGGTGATTTGTGCTATAATTTAGATCTTTCATTACATTATGATCTTCAGGTGAAGAAGTGATTACAAATAACAAGAAACCTATTAATTACATCAAAAATTGTTGTTCCATAGTCATCGTTACTGTTACAGACTTGTAATCCCACTGCTGAACTTAGGCTTCCACCACAGATTACCTAATAGAGGGGATATTTGGCATAGTTACCTCGCTTGGCAAGCGGGTTCGCAACAGCAATTTTATATTCTTTTGTCCAAAAGTTCCAAAGTTGTGACGTGATAAATGAATACTTCCCAAATATGCAGTCGTCTCATGAGTTTAATTCTGTTAGTTCAACGATCAAGCTGTCGAAAATTATTGAGGGAGTAGATAAAACGTAGGATGAGGCGTTACTTTTTCATCGCACAATTATAGATACAAAAAATTATATTTTAAGTGTATTAGTATATTTTAAGTGTCTAAAGACGTATTCTGGTAGGAAATGTTACAGATTTTTTAAAATTTTATTACGGTGAAGTTCATTATTAACAAACTAGAAAAATCATAGATAATAATCTCATTAAAGTTAGAAAAGGATCCGAGGATCTTGAACTTACTCGGAACAGGGATATCGTAGTTGGATTCAACAGTTGTTCAGGCGAGTCTCGGTGTGCAGCGGATGGCGGGCGAGACCGCGGCAGCGTGTTATGTCGCACTCCAGCTACTGAGCCCACCAGCATCATATCTTTGGGCGGCAACAGTTCACGGTCTCGGAGACCTTCAATTTTTTGCTTCTGTATAGCAGTCCCACTCTTTCCACTGCCGCCATCGCTGGACTCCTTCCGCTTGTATCGAAACTTAATCATCTCATTAAATAGTCCACATAGTTCATTACGATCACGCTATCGGCGAAGCGAATTAAACGAATTCGCCTCGACTACTCATTCGAATTCAATCTTCATACTGGTCGTGATCGAAGACAATGGCTGCGCACTGAATATATGTATCTCTATCAGTTATTGTGTCCGCAAACGACTTAAAAGGCAATAAGTACTCGAACCACGTACAATTGAGAAACTTTTCATTTGAATTCCACTCGTCTCACTTTGATGAACAATGACCGTAGAGTATTATTTATTATCTATGCTGTTATAAGTTAGTTAGAGACTTAAAAGTTAAAAGCTTCGGCGGGAAAACAGCAGTTGCGCTACCTTTGAGCAGGTAGAGAGCGACAGGTGGTTACAAAGGAAAACTAATTATAACTAAACAACTGTATGATTGCGTCACGCACAAATTAGGCCACGATTTTAATCACTTCTTACACTACTTCTAATGATTAATTTTAATTGTAAAAGTATAATAACTTGGTTTACATAAGCATACGAACGACACCAAGGAGGCTTTCGAGCAGACTGACGTGAGACAAGCAATAGAAGTGGGGGCGGGAAACGCGGGCGCCTCTACCTTCCAGGTAGGTACTGTTTTTGTAATCTATTGTTAACGTAACTCACGTGGGCCCAAAGCCTTCCCTTTCTAGCTTTTATGCGTATTAATTCTTTCATCTCTGTCTTTTACAGAATAGCGATGTTTTGTTTATATTCCTATGGCGATAAGTAAAAACCCGTCAAGTTAAACTATAAAATGTTGAAAAGAATATTTGTATAGTATAGTACACGTGCATGCGCGTAAAATGTGTTACACAGATGTGATAATTTATTGAAGAAATGGAGTTGTTTAGCGTCGCGGGAAAATAGAAAATGCAAGGCTTTGCAAAATTTAAACGTTTTGTAAGTTCAGTAGAAATACTTTTATATTAAAACGTTATCCTTACTCTATGATTTTCTTGTCTCTGTCAATAAAATTGAATTTTTTTATTAATTCTCGTAAAAATGTGTTTTCAATAACGAAAAATGACTGCGTGGTTTTGAATAAGCGACGTTTTTTTATGTTTTGATATATTCAAAATATATACGTCTACGAATAAAAATAAGCATTTCAGTAATAATACATTGAAAAAAAAAAGTCAGTCTCAAAAAAAACATTTAAAAAAAACTAAAAAATAATAGTTATAATTTCCACGTAATATTAAATTACGTGGATATTATAACTATTATTTAATAGCTTCTAAACCGTGGTTTTACTGCTTCAAAATTCTATGTTCGAGCACCGACTTCAAAAGCTTTTTGAAATCGTTTTTTACTTTTTTAAAGTTAAATAATTCGGCATAATACAACAATCCTAAAGTAACAAATGAAATATTAATTAAACAGTTCATTAAAAAGTTTATTTCCTATATTACTTTAAATTTAAATGGGACCAACCTTACATAGCTTAAATGATAACAAATATTCAATGAAAGAGGTTCACAACTGGAAAATATATCACGTGACATATGTGATATGTACACATACACATAGTATAGACGGACTGAGAGCCTCCTTCTTTATTCATCTGTTAAAAAGTAAATAGCCTTTCGTTATTAGCTTATCAGCTTATCATGGAAAGAGATTTACAACAATTTAAACTATTATTAATTGAATATGAAGTGAAAATAATCTGAGATCAGAGAAATAAAATTAATTTTTAAATAATTAAAATTCGAGATTTTTTCATATGAGACACAATAATATAAGTATTATGTAAAACCCGTCAGCAGTTCCATATATTGGAAGTGGGAAGCGTATCTTTTATGATTAGGTTTTATTATACTAAAGTTTAATCTAACATGGGATATGCAGATAGTAGTTTGTTTTTAAAAATATCGAAATATATAAACTAAACACTACTAAATATCTTGTACTGACAACATAGTAAAAGAATTTTAAAATAAATCAATCAAATTCAGTAAGATCTCGCATCAACACCAAAATAAAAAAGGAAGGAAGGATATTTCATCTCAGGATTGTAATCTCTTGAGTCATATTCGTGGAATGTATGGGGAATAATGAATAAACAAATTTATCGGCGTCTTCACGCATAAGCGTAAGTCTCGATGTAAACATAGAAACAAAACCTTATTTAAAAATGCTTATTCCCTCATCATTGAGGCCTATTTATCAAAAACTTTCACGACTCTGTGAGTCAGTGCTTAAAGTATGTCGGTGTTGTAAAATAATATGTGGTCAGTCTTTTCGTGTCCAGCGGGTGACTGTACTTAAAACACCTCATGTATTCTGACCAAACTATGGACGGACATTTTTGCTTACTAGAATAGAATGGAAAAGCAAACAAAGAGCAGCAAACAGCTACCAATTTAAATTATAAAATTTTACGTTATGGTGCATACTGTAAATGTGTTTAACTGAATTAAAAATACTATTATAGTAGTGATAATGTAGACTTTGAGGCATATTTTAAAATATATTTATTATTTAAAACTATTTTGTCTTTTTGTTTTGTATTTAAAATAAATTGTCAAAGTAATTTTAAGTATTATTTTAATGTTGTTCTATTCTTCACTCTAGAACGTTGTGAATTTTTGAAAACTTAAAATTATTGCAGTCTACTTTATGCCGCGAAGAAAGCTAATTGCTTCTTTCCCACTGCTTAATAAGTGGTTGCTTGACTTTTTGAGATAACCGAACCGGAAACGTCAGGTTAAATAATTTCAACGTGGACTTGTTATCGTTCGAGCCGCTCAATTCGTTTTACACAAAAAATGTTAATGACTCATACAATTTTAATATACTTCCAATCTCTGACACTATAATAAGCAGGAGAAGGCTACGATTAGTCTTTCTTGGAATGGATAAATGAAATTTAATAGAGCAAGAATGCCTTTAAGGAAAAACAAGATAAAAATTTTACCACATATTATAACAACAACACACACACAACTTTAGGTAGAATGTGTGCACTACCTAAAGTTGTGTATAATAAAAGTTCAGTCATCGATCAGGTTAGAAATGAGCAGAGGCCCAGCAGTAACACGTAGTAAACTATTACTATACTTTTCTACGTAAAAAAATCAAGCATTGCCAAAAAAATCTAAATGCTACCAGCCGAGGGCGGTGTAACAATAATCTTACGAATGTTTTGTAAGCTTAGAGATTTGTTTTCTACAGTATATTATAAGCTATTCTTTTGGAAGACGCTCCAAATTGTATTTCTCATATTTACGCTCAGGTGTAACAAAATAGTTTTACGGTACCTGTACGCTACCACGGAAACACTTCCAGCAGGGGTTTGCCATTTAAGAAGACTGCTTTTAACTACTTTATTATTATATATTTATAATGTACCAAATAAATAAAATACTATGATAAGCGAACGTAAAAGTCGACATTAAAATTTGTTTCTAAATAAATATTTATGAAATTGAATTTTTTTTCAAACATTAAATATTTTTTTTAATGTAAGGATAAAAACAAAAATTAAACGCTTTTATTCTAATCGAGCGGCGCCGGTTACCGTGAGACGATTCTCATCATGTAAACCTGTGATCTAATTACATAGTACGTTCCTCCCACCTACACAGTGTGAGAAAGACAGATCAATAGCAACATTAGCAGGAGCACACTGTTTATTATTTAGTATGTTCCACCTAACCGTCCCATACTTCTGTCCTACAAAAATTTTAGTTGAAATACATTTTCGTCAGTTTATATGAAAATAATCGTAGCCTCTAACAAATATTAGACACTTTTTCACTTCTGACCTTTTGAGGTTATAGGATTCGCTGCGCTTCGTCGATGCGTGTGACGGATTTCACAAGTGCTATTTTTTAATTTATTGCTTTTAAGTTTTCATAGGATGTTTTTTCACCATCGATTATTTAGTAGAGACACCTAAAATTACTATCATTTGTTATCACGGATTGCTCGCGGATTATTAAGTTTAAGGCGAGCACTTAGCCCCTAAACCTGAGCTATTACAGCTCTCAGTTTATATAATATAACATAACATAAACTCTCACGCCTGTCAACCAAAGTGGTAAGCAGAGATTACGAACTTCCATTTAGCACAATCCCGACACGCCATCGGCTTCTTGCGCATCACATAAAGTATACCTAGATTTAATGTATAGTGCTGTTTTTCTATGTATGTAGTTTTAAATATTGCAAAAACTTTTTATGTGAAAATGTGTTACAATACAACCACATATTTACTATATTTATATATTATGCATGTAAGGTACTTATTTAATCATTATAAGACACATCAAGTATAAGTATAAGTAACCGTACGTGTCTTTTTTCTTGTAATTATATGAAGAAAGGCCACGTTAGTGTCCTTAATGGACGAACAAGTATGTGAATAGGGAAACGACAAAGATTTAAGGTCACGTAAAGTAGGATTCTATCATCTCTGTCACTGTCAAGATGTTTTCTTGCAGTGTAAACAAATCACTTCATAAAAAATAAAAATATAAACTTTTTGCAGCGATCAATTAAGACGTGTTTGACATAGACATTATAAATTTTCGTTTTTAAAAGTTTTGTACACATAAATTGAACATAGACAAACACCTGGAGAAGAAAAAATTTAGATACGAATATTTCACTTCATATCTATTTAGCCTGCATCTCCAACCTAAACGTTTAGCCATGAGGTTACTGAGCTTATATTTAGAATATACATTTCAATGCCTTTCATGTGTATTGTTTTAGGTCGCAAGATCTTAGGAGTCATGTCCGCCATATTTTAATAAATGATTAGTGCTGTTATCGACGATCGCACTAATCATTTGCCAAAAATCGGCGAGTAGTACCTACATTATGTACTTTTAAAAGGTGTGCATCCCTTTTTCTGTTCCGCTTATCTCTCCAAATATATTACTATCCTTTTCTACTGGCGCGGCTGATTAAACTGATTTTTCTTTCGTCACTAGTAATCCGAAAAAGGCTATATTTAAAAGACGGATCTT